GGTGGGGCCTGGAGATCTCCCAGAATTACAACTGAACTCCAGACAACAGATATCAGTTCCCCTGGAAAAAATGGCTCCTTTGGAAGATGGACTCTACAGCATTATACCTGCTTAGGTCCCTCCCTTTTAGGGTTGCCAAGTCAAAAAACACTCACCGGCGGGGGAGCCTCGCCGGGCTCTGGGAGCCGTCCTTGGATGCGCGCGCCGCCAGCGCGTCACCGGAAGTGACACGCGACATCGACCACGTTGGGGGCGTGGCCCGGATCATTGGAGGGAAAACCATAGTTTTCCCTCCGATGATCCGGGCCACGCCCCCAATGTGGTCGACGTGGTTGCGTCACCAGAGGTGACGCGGCCACGCTGCGTTTCGGTGGGCGGAGTTCCCCCCGGGGCCCGATTCCGCCGTGGCGGAAATCGGGCCTCCAAAGCGGGGGTTTCCCCGCCCCCACTTGGCAGCCCTATGCAGGGAGTACTTAAATAGGGTTGCCAGCTCCAGGTTTGGAAATACGTGGAGATTTTGGGGATGGAGCCTGAAGGAGACCGGGGGTTGGGGAGGGGAGGGACTTCAATGGGGTATAATGCCATACAGTCTACCTTCCAAAGTGGCCATTTTCCCCAGTGGAGCTGATCTCTGGCAGCTGAAGATCAGTTGTAGTAGCGGGAGATCTCTAGCCACAACTTGCTGGTTGGCAACCCTATACTACTACTATGGAGCAAGAAATTGGCTATATAAATGGAACCCATACTGTGTGGGCCTTTTCAGCTCTGCAGCTGGTTTATCTTATTACCATCACTACTGGCCTTAAGTAAAGGTCGCCGCATTTAGCCTCCATGATGTCATTGTGAGGCGCTGATAGTCAGCCCTTACCATGGTAACAGCACTTGATGGCATCAGTGTGATTCTAAGACCAATTGAAAAGGAAGATCCCCTTCTCTTCAAAGGCACAAGACACTAATCCTTTAAGACTGACTGTGACATCACGGGGATGACATCACAGAGGCACAGTTTACAACCCTTCCTTCTTGCAACTGCAGGATTTCCCTTGATGCACAGACATGAAAGTCATGTGGGCAGCCAATGGCAAATTCTATAGGGCTGGGCAGGTACATTACTTATAAAGGAGTCCCATTAGGCTTGTATGGCCCTAGCCTAGTCATGGAAGTTGTTCTTGGGACCTAGATTCTCAGACCCATCCCCATTTTGTTTCCCCCCTCCTATTCACTGGGCATTGGGAAAGGAACATGTATGTCTCCTGGATATCTAGAAGTAGGCCTTACCCATACTTCTATATCAAACTTCTTACTACAGGAGTAGGATTGCCAACTCTAGGTTCAGAAGTACCTGGAGATCTGAGGGTGGAGCCTGGGAAAGGGGGGCTTAGGGAGGGGAAGGGCTTTCTAAAGCAGCTGTTTTCTCCAGGAGAAGTTACTTCTATATCAAACTTCTTACTACAGGAGTAGGATTGCCAACTCTAGGTTCAGAAGTACCTGGAGATCTGAGGGTGGAGCCTGGGAAAGGGGGGGCTTAGGGAGGGGAAGGGCCTTCTAAAGCAGCTGTTTTCTCCAGGAGAAGTGGAATAAATGTTTTAAATAAATTATAAATAGATAAGTGATTTGTATAGTCTGGAGATGTCAGGGTTGCCACGCCATGCCCCCGATGCGGACAGGTTTCCCCCGATTTCAAGGGGCCCAATCTGCCACCGGCCAGTTGGCTGGTGGTGGGGAGCCCTGCCCCTGAAGAGCCCCATCCCGCCTGACATGCCCAGCGCAATGACATCACCCGGAGGTGACGTCGTCACGCTGGGGATGCTCAAGCATTTGGGCAAAAAATTCTATGGTGACAACAGAAGTATTTTTACCCAAATACTCAAGCGTCCCACCCAACGTGCCCAGTGCGATGATGTCACCTCTGGGTGACGACATCACGGCATGCACACTTCGCGTGTGCACCAAAAGACTCCCGGAGGAAGACCGGGCCCCCACCCGCAGCCAGGTAAGACCTGCCAACCATAAGATCAGTCGTCATTCCAGGAGATCTCTAGCCCCCACCTGGAGTTTGACAACCCTGCACAGGAAGGATTAGAGACTCATGGCTTTTATGCACTTCACCATACCACAGGTAAAATGCCGGTCAGTGCTGTGGGGGGATATGGGAGAATGTCCTGGATTTTACACAGTGTTACTTTTGTCTCAAGGAATCCAATGGACCCACAGATGCGTATGCAGCCATTGCCCGAGCTGACCGATTGACACAGGAGCCCGAGAGTATTCGCAAATGGCGAGAGGAACAGAAAAAGAGACTGCAGGAGCTGGGTAAGAATGGAAACATGGTGAAAAATATAAACTATACAAACTGACATTGTGAAGATATGTCAGTGTGCCTTTTAAAGTATAATGTGGATTTTTTGAGGGACAGAAATCTGTGGTGTACAAATCTGAAGCAGAAATTTGAGGCAAGGGGGGGAGAGAGAGAGAGGAAAGGAAAAGACAAATAGGCAGTAAAGATTAGCTTGACGCGTATTACTGAAAGAGAGATCATCTGAGAATAGTAGAACAATTAAAACGGTAATAATGGGCAATGAAATATATATAAAGAGAGCTGGGAGAATATATAAATGGGGGACAGCAAGGAAATGGAGGTAATGGCAGAGACTATAGTATTTTTATCCTCACAGTGACTCGAGAAGAGTTACAAAAAAAGAGAGATAAAAAAAAAAGAAAATACTGACTACAGGCCTTACTTGAGGGACCGTCACAAAAGGCTTCAGCGGGCCGACAGCATTTGTGGGCCTCCTTTAGAACTGTGAGCCTCACTAGCTCCTTTAGTATTTATGCATTCCATGGTAGGTAGGTAGGTTCACCACCCTCCAGGTGGTGGCTGGGAATCTCCTGGGATTTCAACTGATCTCCAGGCGACAGAGATCAGTGCGCCTGGAGAAAATGGCCGCTTTGGAAGGTGGGCTGTATGGCATAGTACCCCATTGAAGTTCCTCCCTTCCCTAAACCCCGCCCTCTTCAAGCTCCGCCCCCCCCAAATCTCCAGGTGTTCCCCAACCTGGAGCTGGCAACCCTAATGGTAGGTCATTTCTACAGTCAGCCTGCTGCAGAAGTGCACTTGCTGCGTATCAGCCTTCTTCTTCTCAGGGGGGGGGGTCTTGGGAAATATGTTTTTCTTTTAGAGCAGACTCTGAATTTGTGCTGCACCCACCCACTGTGTCAGTCATGAAGACTCTGCATCCCCTTTTTGAGCTGTGCTCTTCACAGTGTTGATTGGCTGGCTTTTGTGTTCGTCACAAAGCAGCCTCCTCCTCGTACCTGTCTGATCAGCTTTCAAAGATTAAATCGTGAACAAAGGTTTAGAAAAGACAAACATGCTGGGCACTTGGAAAATAATGCAAAATAAAAAAAGTTATCCTGATAAAAGTATGTGGGGTGGCTAAGTGTTTGCAATCTGGAGGAAACCCATTACCTTCTCTCAAACTGGACACGTTTGACATTTTGCCCTCAGGAACATGCTTATTCAAGGAATCTCTCCCTTGCTGTGGATATTATCCCCAGCAAATGTGCAAGTTTTTTTCCTGCCCGTGTCACAGAAGTCAGCTTTACATGGCACTCAAGTGACTGGGAAAGCTCATTCTACCAAACATGTATATCTCATTCTAGACGCTGCTTCAAAAGTGTTAGAACAGGAATGGCGTGAAAAAGCCAAGAAAGATCTGGAAGAGTGGAACTTGCGGCAGAATGAACAAATGGAGAGGAACCGGGTCAATAACAGGTATGGCTGGGAGGAATAAGCACCCGACCCATTTTAATCTTGCCAGTAACAGCAATATTAGCATATTTCACTATCATAAACCCACCTTGGGTCTGTGTGTGTTTATATGCATGTAACGTGTTCATGTGCATGTATGCATGTTCCTTTTTTTTCATGCCACCGCCCTAAGTTAAGATCTAGCCCCCCACATTACCAGTGACTTGGGGAACACAGGTAAAGGCTGCCTCTAAGCATGTGCATGGGGCAAAGTTTCCCAGCTACTTTAGCCTTTCCCTTTTGCATGCATCTGTAGTGTGACTGAGTAGCTGCTAAGGCCACATGGGAAGGAATCTGAAACAGTCTTGCTCTCTCAAACAGAAAAATTTATTGCTACAGGTTATTCAGCTAGAATAATAAGCTACACTTAACAATACAGAAGGTTTATCATAGAATCATAGAATGTTAGAGTTGGAAGGGACCTTGCAGGTCATCTAGTCCAACCCCCTGCACTCTGCAGGAGCATAGCCAAAAGAACTTCCCTCCAACTTCCCTCTCTGGATGTCCATGGAGCAAATGCAAATCCTGACTCTACCCGACTCCTAGCATTTGAACATCACTAACTGCAAGTTGTGTGTGTTAAGTGCCGTTAAGTCACTTCTACTAGCATTTGAACATCACTAACTGCAAGTTCTGACTTATGGCGACACTTTGAATTAATGACCTCCAAAAGTCTCTTCCCCAGTCTAAATTTAGGAACTCACCCCCACATGGATGGTGAACCTCGATCTCCCAAGCAACCAAAGGCACACATTCTACACATCTCAATACCTAGATCATGTTTTACAACAGCTATCCACCTTGCCCTTCGTGGCAGGTAAAGCAGTGGTTATTTCTTTAAAGAAACACATCTCTGCTGTGACCTCTTGATGCATTTTATGGCTCTCTTCCCTGGGAAAGTTAAGTGGCTGTCAGGGTCCCAGGGACTCCTGGTGAGTTTCAAAACACCTTACATCTGTGGATCATGACACTCACCACCATCAACCCCCAGAATATTGAAGCTGCCTCTCGAGAGCTGTAAAGGTAAAGGTAAAGGTTCCCTTGCTCGAAAGCCAGTCGAATCCGACTCTAGGGTTGCGGTGCTCATCTCCGTTTCAAAGCCGAAGAGCCAGCGCTGTCCGAAGACGTTTCCGTGGTCATGTGGCCGGCATGACTAAACACCAAGGCGCACGGAACGCTGTTACCTTCCCACCGAAGTGGTACCTATTTATCTACTTGCAATTTCTTGCTTTCGAACTGCTAGGTTGGCAGGAGCTGGAACTAAAGACAGGAGCTCACCCTGTCTTGCGGCACCCGGGTCTTGAACCGCTGAACTACTGACCTTCCACAGCCTGCAGTTCAGCGTCTTAACCACTTGAGCCACCGCAGCTCTCTCGAGAGCTGTAACACAGCACTATAGAAGGGAGCAGGCTCTTTTTGGCTGCAGGCCATGTGTCCTAAAGGCATGGAAGCTCAGAGGGGACTGGGCTGGGAGTTCAGAGGTAAAGCATCTCAGGCCATGTGTTTACCATCATTCCCATTTGCTGGTGCTGAACAAGTGCCAAATAAATGGGTTGGTGGCCTAGCCATGCAATGCAAGACTAATCTGACTTTGATACAGCTGATCTGGCCACCTGGATCAATGCCACGGTAACATCAAAACTACACTAGTGTAATGCACTGTACAGTGGTCTCTCCTCAAAACCAATTTGGAAACTCCAGCTGGTGCAGAGTTCTGTGGCTCGGCTACTATCAGAAGCCAGATGGAGCATGCATATTACTCCGTCTGCGGACGCTCCACTGGCTGCCCATTTGTTACCTGGCTCAGTTTAAGGTATTGACTCACACACAAGGCCATTCATGGCCTTGGTCCCTCTTACCTGTGTGACCACCTTTTCCCATATGCTTCTCCACAACAGCTTTACTCTTGTCAGCAGCACCTTCTGCAGGTGCCCACTGCAAATGAGATACATCATGTGCATGTGCTTTTTCCATTGTGGCTCCTGCCTTGTGGAAGGGCCAGCCTGAGGAGGTCAGGAAGGCTCCCACTCGCCTGGTTTTCTGCAAAACTGAACTATCCAAGAGTTTTTTTTCTGCACTTGTAATAAGGTTGCATTATACAAAATGGTTTACAAAAAGTTACTTGGATAAATGATTAGGGACTGTGGTCTATACTGCTGGGTAAGGCCTACTGTAAGTAGGATCCTATTATGTAAGTAGGATCCTATTATGTAATTTTTGCACTGCTTAATGTGTCATGTTAACACTTATGCTGTGCTTCAGTTCCTTCTGGTTCATCCCAGACTTTTGCAATCCTAATGCACTGCTGATTGTACTGGCTGAATACGTGTAGTCTGCCTTGAGTCCCTGTGAGAAAGGCGGACTATAAATAATGTAAATAAATAAAAATAATCACAGATACGTTATCTGCAGCACAAAGGCAGTCATTTCCATGTTAACAGCCGGGTGCAGGCCTTAGCAGCCTCAAACACTGCTGAAGTTGTTAGCTGAGAGATTGGGGGTGGGCCCTCCTTATGCTACTCCTTGGAATATTCTCTCAGAAGTTGTTTCCTGTGGTTGCTCAATGCCAAAGATTTATTTTTGAATCAGGCTTCTTCCCGTCTCTCCTAAGCATTTGACTAATGAATTTCTAGCAAGCACCTGTACTGTCCTGCACTGTCGAATTCTCTTGCTCTGCCCACTGAGGGTACTAACCTCTCTTTCTCTCTTTAACTCTTTGCTGCCTCTCTGCTCTGCACTTTCTCCTGTCTTTGGGTCGTGCCGTAGGATTGCTGACAAAGCCTTTTACCAGCAGCCAGATGCCGATGTGATTGGCTATGTGTACGTCTCTTTGCCTTTGTAATCTTTCCTAGGAAGAACCTCCTGTACAGATGATGAGTGAGATTTCCAATCCTTAAAATGAGCTTGTTGGCTATGCTGGAACTCAGATAGACATTTGCCTTCTGCCAGACATTTTACTGGAGATGGGTTCCAGATTAATATTACAGAACAGGGGTATGCTGTACCACTTGCTCCTTTTATAGAAAGAGCTTCGAAGCGCACCAATTTACTGGTAATCATGTTTGACTATGCAGCCTCCTCTTTCATTTAGCAAGTCCAGTGTCTCTTTGGTATTGCTATGCAAGATGCTGTTCTCGTAGCTGAGAGATCCATGGGTGATCTTTACGTACTAATTTCCTGCTCACCACCTAGTAGTACATAACTGTAAAAGAGCTAGAACTTTAGGCTGCCAGACGATCTTAGGATCGCCTGGCTATACTATACACCAGTGATGGCGAACCTTTTAGAGACCGAGTGCCCAAACTGCGACCCAAAACCCACTTATTTATCACAAAGTGCCAACACGGCAATTTAACCTGAATACGGAGGTTTTACTTTAGAAAAAAACCCTCATACATTAACTTAAGATGATCCAAACAAAGTAAGGAACACAATCCCAAATGCCTTCATTTACTTAAAATTATTTGGCAGAGAATTCGACACTTTAATGATGGTCTGGGCCTGGCTGTGGTCGATGGCACGTGTGCCCACAGAGAGGGCTCTGAGTGCCACCTCTGGCACCCGTACCATAGGTTCGCCACCACTGCTATACACAATGCCATACAGTAATTAATTCCTAATGTAGCAATGACTGCTTCTTATTAGTAACTTCATATGGTAGTTTCCAGCAAATGCTTCTCTCTTACAGAATTGAATACTGTGTGGAATGAGGTTGCCCAAGTATCACAGCCATTTGTTGGATCATGCCACTGACAACGCTCTGACAAACAATACCCGTTCTCCCCCTTCTATCTCCCTCCCCTAGCCATTCAGTGACCTTTAAAAAAAAAGGTCCCGTTTAATTTTGATACTTCCTTAAAAAATGCTTGCCCAAGATCCAGCTTGCCTGAGTTGTGATTCACCGAGCTGAATGCACCCCATCAGTCTTTGTACTGTGGCCTGCCAGATGCCTGACAACCCAGGTAGGCAGTCCCAGGTAAGGCAGCAAGAATAGGACATTTGTGGAGTCCCTGGTTGGCCATCACAGATAGCTGGTGAGCTGTGTTCAGCTCGGCCACTTGCACGTTGTGAAGGCATGGCCTCACAGCAAGAAAGCAAATTTTCACCAGTGCCATTTTTTATCCCTACACAAATGTTTGGCTGCACAGAAAGATAAAAAGGCCTCCCAAATACTTATGTTCAGGAGAGTTTCCCAAAGTAGTTGCATATTCTATGAGTTCAGTACCTCCAGGGCGGTGTGTGTTCCCCCTAGGAAGATCTGCAGTCTCCACCCCCTTTTTTCATGTTCACAGAACTCCAGGAGTTGAGACCTGTTTTCTTGTTTGCCTTCTCCCTAGGGCCTCGGAGGAAGCCTTTCTGAAAGAATCCAAGGAAGAGACTCCAGGCACGGAATGGGAGAAAGTGGCCCAGCTCTGCGACTTCAACCCCAAGAGCAGCAAGCAGTCCAAGGACGTGTCACGCATGCGATCTGTGCTGATCTCCCTCAAACAGACTCCTCTGGCCCGCTAGCCTAGTGGAGGAGGGGCTGGGGCTGGAGTGAGGATGCAGTTTACTCTTTTGCCAGCAGGTGTAGCTGCAGCACAACAGGCTTAGAGGGCCACCGGCAGGAGTCCTAAAGCATCCCACTCCTGCCCCTTCCTCTCTTCAACCTTCACGTTACTCTGGCCTGTACCCCTCCCCTTGATTTTACTTTGCTTAAAGGGTGCATTGGTATCTTTTTACACATATTTATTAACTGTGTGGTTCCTTGGGCAGCAGCCCTCTTTGGTTCCTACACCTGCTGCCTTCAGGAAAATCACTCCCTCTTTCACAGTGCTGGGAGCATTCATCTGCTCCCCTTCCACTGGTCAGAGGCCCAAGTCCCCTGATCTCATCTAACTTGGCAGATACAGTAGATAAAGTGCAATTCATCTTTTCTGGTACTTTGCACCAGGCCCAGAAGGCAACACTAAATCAAAGGCAAGTACCATTCATAGGCCGAGTTTGAGGTTGCAAGCAGGATGCCCGACTTCGAATCCTAGATCTGTTGTTGTTTCCCCCAGTGATAATGATCATTTTTTCTGACAGAGTTGGAACTCGCATGCCAATTGGAGTGCAACCTTGGTAACAATAGAAGGTGATGCCTAGCAGGAAGTAGGTTTCTTCAGGGCAAAGCAGGCAAAGGGGAGAAAGGCTAATGATGAAAACTCTAAACCTGGTGCCCTAAAAGGGCATTGAAATGGTTGACTGAGACGAATACTGTATGAAGTTGTGAAGAGTTGGGGGGGGGGGGGGATGACCAAGCCATTTCAGTAAGATGTACTTCTACTGCATAAGGCACTATTTGTCCCTGCAAGAAGGTGGACCAGAAGGCAAAATTTATTTGGACCTAAGTAATGAAAAAGGGGAAGAACCTCCTGTAGAGGTGGAATGGGAGTAAAACTATAACCCTCTCTAGGAAGAGGTTATACCATATTTGCTTGAATGCAGGGGCATGATATGGGGTCCGCTGAGATGCTTGCTTCCAAACCTTGTTCTTTTAAGTGAAGACAGGCGAAAGGAGGACACTGCTGTATGTGAGAGACAGGAAGGATGTTAGAAATCTTTTAGGCACTTGAGTAAACCCCAAGCCAATTCCTGCATTACCCTCAGCCACAGAATCAACATATCCTGTTCCAATACCATCACCTTTGTTTGGAAGCAGATATCCCCCACCTGAGCCATTCAGTATGTACTGGCCCTGGTATATACTGGTCCCCTCCGCTCCTTATATGATCCATCAGCCTAGCTAAGAAGCAGATGGAGAAGAGTCACAAAAGAGGAGCTCTGCTCAGTGCTGTGTGGTCAGCAGGTGATTTTTCTAGTATTTGTTCCTATGTTGCAGATTCCTGCAGTTATTCCTCCCCCCCCTTTTTAACTGAAGGGGAGCAGCAGATTACTGCGGTTTCCCATTTGGGCATATGCTGTGTTGCCAGGGTTCTCTCTGGCTCATTTAATAAAGGTTCTTTACCTTGAGTAAATGTAAAGAAGGTAGTCTTAGTGGAAGCTTTAAATCTTTTTTTTTTTAAAGCAAAACTTTAAAAAAGCACAATGGCCACATGTGGTTATGAGAGAGCCTGGGAAGTTTGGTTTTGGGGTTGTTGTTTTTTTTTAAAAAAAATACAGCCTATTAGAGGTAGCAGAACTGGCAGTATTTAGTCTTAATTTTAATATATTTGTGCTAGGAAGGACACATAAAATCAAGCTATAAATTCAACATCCGTTAACGGAGTTCACTTCCCCACCCAAGCTGACTTTGCATAGAGCTGGCTTTTCTGATCACTTATTCACAGGCACATTGTTCAGTACAGGGTCCTCATGTGGTGGCATCAACTCATATCTCCACATGGAGGTATTTGTGAGAAAACGCTCCGCATAGGAAGACTGGCAGTCGCCCAGCTATTTCAAGCATATTCTCTGATAACGTTTGAATTTTCCAGCCCTGGGCTAAGTCATACCAGTGCCTCGCCCTGCAAAAGAATGGGATAAAGTCACCCCCTGAAGATTTTACAGTGACTGATCTGGACCTTTTGTCTTTTTCCTATTTATAACATGCTAAAGTCCTCATGTGGTTACTTTACAACATCACTTTCCCACCCTGAGGCACTTGAAAGAAAGTAGTGCGGATATTCTAGTAGGGAAGGTGATTGACAAAATGTGTGTTTCTTGGCAATCAGGAGCTGCAGAGGTTCAGAAGGAGACTCCATAAAAATGAACACTGGTAATATAGGGGGGAGACTTGCCATATGAGGATCTAAACAATGGGCAAGTCCTCAGTGCATCATATCCCAGGCCTAGCTCCTACTGGTTTAAAGTATGCTGAACTGAGATTTGGCATTTGTGGCAGTCGCACTATGTTCTCAGCTGGCTGCAGAAAGGAGGCAAAAGTGCAGAAAAAACATGAAATTGCCATGGGTTTTTTTGTGTGTGTGTAGGGGTATGTTTTCTCTGGATATTATTTCTTCAAAAGCTGGGGTGTGAGCAGCTCCCTCGCTGCGATCTATTGAAAGTCAGCCCTCGACACAAGCAAAAAAAGAAAAAAAAAAAAAGCTGGGGGGTGTGGGGGTGGGTAGATAATACAAATCACACAGAAGTGAAGGCAGAGAAGGGCCACACTGTAAGGTGGGGGACAGAAGACGCACTGGCAGCTGCAGCCTCTCCTACTGTTTGCTACAGAGCAGTTCACAGCCTAGACAAGAAAGACAGGCTGCTATCTGTAAGCACTGATGATCCAACTGGTTGCCACAGCCCACGTTAATCAGGCTCTCTCTTCGTCAGCCTTTGCGAATAGCAAGACACAGGCCCTGCTTGGAGTTACCCTGTTGCCCCTGACATTCACTGCCCTTTGATCCTCTGTCACAAATGCCAGGAAGAGCAGAGGTGGCATTCAGGAGAGGTGGGAAGCTTTGCCTAGGGCTGTCCTGTTTCCCCACCCCCACCCCAGCTTCAAGATCTGTTAAATCATCTGTTATCAATAAACTGCCCCTACTCCAGCCACAGAGCTAAGAGTCGCGGAATGCTTTATTTCCACATTTTTATCTGTTGTAATTTGGGGATTGCAGGGGACAATTAACACAGATCTTGGGCTCTGGGCCTAGCAAACATTTCTGCTAGAAATATGGCCAGTCTGAATCCCTTCCTCAGAATGGGCATTTGGAATATGCTCTATAAGACACCTACAGCCTGGTTCTAGGCGTTCTATTCAGATGGGTTTGTGATCAGATAAGGTGTGCCTGTAAGTGCATCCTTAGCAAAGCTCCATATGAGAAGCTCACAAAAGAAAATGTGTGTCTCAGCAGCCTTTGAGAACAACATTTAACAACAAGGGAGAGAATAGTGTTATTTCATTTTTAAACAAGTTTCTCCATCACACTTCTCTCTTGAAGAAAATAATGCACACTTAATATTTAGTGTATGTTTTCTTCTCATATGAACTGACAGATCTGAACCATCACTTTAAATTTTTGAACACTCTCTGGAAGAGTGAGAGAATATCCTTTAGCACACTCTAGTCACCCTGTGTGAAAGAAGAGGTTGTTCAAGCATCTTAGTTTGAACTGTGCACACAAGTATGTCTTACCAATCCATAAAAAGTGGCTTACCTCCTGTCTGCATATATATACCTATTCATCTCAGGGTAACTTGCATTACGTCTGGCAAGCAATTCATTAGAAAGGATTGTTTTGTGCCTTAGCTAAGGAGCTCACTGCAAACTGGATGTAACATCTATATTTAGTGTTCTTGAGAATGCCTTTTCTTTCCCCCTTTTCTCCCACTGAAGGGGGGGGGGTGCCTTTTGTATTGACTGTCAGTAAATTTTTTACTGTTGATACAAGCTCAGCATCACCTGAACTTGTGCATAAACAAATACTGTATTTTACATCTGGTGCTGTACGGTGCTAAGCATCTCTTACAAACAACAGTAGATGGAAAAATGAGAACCAGTTGAAATTTTATTGGTAAGGTTGGCATATAAGAAGTTCTCTATTATGTTAAGGAGGCCAGTCTTCTGAAATGTCTGGAACTCTTAAAACCAGTAAGTATGACACAGCAAGTAGGACCGAATATTTAAAAATACCAACTAGTTCTACTTTGTTTAAACTGACTGTAGAACACTGCAGTGAACTAACTTCCAAGCTGTAACGCCAAGACAAGCCACTCCTTATGAGGAAAGAAGGTAAAGCAGGCAGGCAGTGCATGCTACTTGGCTACAAGTATTCCAGCCATATGCAGGTTACTCATGTCTCTGACATGACAAGAGGCACAGTGCTATTCCTCTTGCGTCTCCACTTTGGCCTTATAAAGTTTGGCTTAGTTAATGATTTCATAAACCTGCCGGTTACAATTCATGCAGTTGCTGGGTAATTAACATACAACTCAGGCTATACTTCCTATGCAACACTTGAGAATAAGTCCCATTGAACTCAGATTTCTAAGCAGGTGCTGTAGGAACCAATGGCTTTAGTAGAACTGACTTCTGAATGAACATGCAAAATACCAGTCCTCTTGGCACAGGCTTTAGCTGCAATTTGTAGTTTTCAACAGAACAACAAAAATCCATAGTGGATGAAACAGCTGAAATGGAAGCCAAGCTCAATTAAATCCAACCCTTCTTTAAGTCAGGTTCAGATGTGCCAAATGATCATGCTACTGCTACTATACTGGGTGACAACTTGGCAAAACAAAAGCTAAACTGCTCTAATGCACAGTAATGGGCTTTAACAGTGGGGTCATCAAAAAGCTTTTACCACAAAGTCTTCATTTGCTCAATTCAAATTGCTATCTTCCCAGATTTTTCCATAGCTGTTACCTGCCTGGGGTTATAATTACGTTTGTACACAAAAACGTAGGGTCCTCCCAACACAGTATTAGACTCCAGTGCTGAGAGTGATGCAACATCTTGGGTGTACAGGGTGCCATTCTGAACAACTCTGATGGTGTTTGCTTTTTCTCATTGACTAGCAAAGTATGTGTCAATAGAAAGGATGGGGAAAATGCTAGATAGACCAAACCCTTCCTCTCACACACATTTTCTCAATCTCACACTTTATTGTTGGACACAGAAAATAGCTAAGGTTTGCTCTAAAATCCTACAATTGGATAGTAAACAAGGTTTCTCTTACCAAAAACAAACATACCCCCTAACTCTGCAATAATACAATGGTATATGGATGCCCAGAGGCTGGTGAGGATGCAACATGGCTTGCTCTATAAAGCAACAATTACTACTCAGGTACACTGAAGAGCAATTCCAACTCTGCCTACGGACAGCCGTAACTGTACTTTATACACGGAATGGTTGTATATTAAACAGCACTTTGAAAATAAACTTTTTCCCATCACTCCATTTCATGTGTCTTCACTTACACCCTGCACTCTAAGCCGCACAGCTATTTTGAGAGGTCCTTTTCACACGTCCATTGCAGCACCCCGTGTGTCAATCACAGACGACTGAACATAAACCATGTACCAGTTCAAGTCATGTTACTGTTTTCTCGAGGCATATGTTTTATCTTCTTTTCCCTATCCTTCCCTTTCAAGCCAGCAGCCTGAATACTCTTGAAACTGATAGCAGCTGGCTAGAAGCTGGCACAAGTTCCCCATAAAATAATATTTAAAAAGCAGCATGTGCTTTTTAACATGTACAGACTGACAGCTGGCAAAGAGAACAGTAAGCAAACTTAGACTTTGGTTGTAGTTCAAGTTGAAATGGGAACATGGTTTTATAGATCACACTGCCTTTTCACCATTACCCTACTGGACATAAACATGAGTTAAGAAAAAGCAACCATAATCAGAGGAGCTGTTCCCTACTATTCAAATTTTATTACTGGCCACTCCCTGCCCCAGGGCCCTGCGTAAAACTTAAGTATTTCCACTGTGTTTTGAACTATTCCACTGCCCAGAAGGCAGTAAAGACACTTCTTCTGATAAGCTTTACTAATACCAGGGACTTAAGATATTGGCCTTGTTGGCAAAGATGACCTTAGAACAAGGCTGTATCAATGGACTCAAAAAATATTTCATACACAGATGGCAAGGTTGAATCATCTGAATGTATTCAATGGTATTTAAGAAACACTTGAAAACACACTGGGACATGATGGTCATTCTAAAAATATCACTGAAACATCACTCTCTAAGCTTTGACAAGTGCTCTTCTCCAGGATAGAAAGACCCATTTCTATGCTGTATAGTAGGCTATTACTGGATACTGGCAGTAGGTTCACTTCTGTGGTTTCATTGCTGTAATAACCACCCCCACCATTAGGGCAGCAATGGTGAAGCCTTGGGCTAGAACACGTGCCCGCATCATAACTTGGGACTGGCGAGTGTTGCCCCTCTTGAAACAGATGAGTCCATAGGTCAAAACTCCTGCTGTGCCAAGGCAGCCTACAGAGAAGAACAAGAAAAAGCAGTCAGTGAACCGACAAGAAAATGTGATTTTCTGTCTGGTCTTGTGAAGAGAAAGGCCTAGATTCAAGGATGCTTTCTCAATTCCCCCTTGGCTATATAGTTGATTCATGGGCCAGCATGAAGGCCTGGCTTCAAGATAAAGATAAATCCTTGAATTTTACTTTCCGGGAGGCAACATCATTGGCCTTGGCCCCTATGTCCTGTTTGTTGGCCCTTCAGGGCAACTGGTTGGCTGCAGTGTGAAACAACGCTGGACCAGATGGACTACTAGCATGATCCAGCAAGTCATGCCTTAGGTTTTAGAACATCAGGGTCAGCCTACATTTTCAATTCCGTCTAGTGAAATTCTAAACAGCAACAGGAAAGTAAAATCCTCTACTAATTGCAGACCAGTCCTTCCTCTCTGAAGTAACTTGTGGTTATTGCAGTCACCTAGAAAGGGAAGCTTTGCTATGCTATTGTTTCTGTCCTTGACAGTAGCATGACCAGGGGACAAGCCACTTTGACCCCTGTCCTTGTTCACACATGACACCATAACGAAATCACTTAAGTAGTGGTATTCTTTTTTTTAATGCGATACTGGTCAAATTTAAAAAAATTACTTATTTAACACAGGAGGAGAATCTTGGGGACATCTCTGCCAACTGCATAAGATTTAGAGTGAACTTCTGTTTCTTGTTACAGACGTTTAAGATTTGTCAGAAGCACAAACTATGACCCCCCAATAAGCTAAAACAGTAAATCCAGGACTAATCCAGAATGTAGTGTATTACACTCTTTGTTTTTCTGTTTGTTGTATTTTTGTAGGTCACCTAGGGTCAACTCCATTGATAAAAGCAAAGTAAAATACTTGTATATTTAAAATATTAATATTCTTCACTGAGAGTTCTAATCTAGAGGCAGTCAATAAACCTACCTACAATAAAATTATAGTATTACAATTCCTCTAAGAACAGCTACAATACATCTTGAAACTGGTGGCCAGTTGAGGGGTATGCTATGTCTGCCAGAATTGCCCCCATGTTTCCTTCTACAAAGGTTCTGTGCCCTTAACACTCAAGCAATGAAACTCACTGGGTGACCTCAGGCCATTTATGCTCCTGCTTGCTGTGGGGAGAGGAACGGAATGTGATTATAAGCCGCTTTGAGACGCCTTAAGGTACAGAAAGGTAAAAGGTAAAGGTTCCCTTGCTCGAAAGCCAGTCGAATCCGACTCTAGGGTTGCGGTGCTCATCTCCGTTTCAAAGCCGAAGAGCCAGCGCTGTCCGAAGACGTTTCCGTGGTCATGTGGCCGGCATGACTAAACACCAAGGCGCACTGAACGCTGTTACCTTCCCACCGAAGTGGTACCTATTTATCTACTTGCAATTTCTTGCTTTCGAACTAGCAAAGTATAAAAACCTGCTCTTCTTCTTCTTCCGGAACTTATCGTTGTGAGAAAAAAATACAGGAAGAGAGGACCATGCATATCGCCCTGAACCCATAGAACAAGGGCGGGACACTACTGCTATAACAACCTCATGAAAGCGAGAGATTCAACAGGCAAAGCCTTGTCTGTCACTGCATTTTTCTATACTGGAAAGAAAGCTTTCTCTTTTGAATTATGGCCTACTAGAAAGAGGAGTCTTAAGAAAAGAAAAGACAGCAGGCGGCGGCTCCTGATCTTCGCAACCCTCCGTCTTGTGCCCTCTCCATCTGCAAAGGGTCCCGTGTGCGGCTCGTCCCTTCGTGAGCAATGCCTTCACCCTAGGCCTCGACTTCCCTCTTACCTATGGGCACAAGGGGATTCTCACGGCTCTTGCGTAGAAATTTATCTTTAAATGTCTCCTCGCGGCTTTGGTAAGCGCTGGGCGTAAAGCCTTCGACGACCGGCGGATGGCTGGGATCAAAGGGTGGCGGAGCACTCTGCGCCATTGGATACCCTACACTAAAGGCCACAGCAAGAAAAATGTGCGCTTCGCTCTCACTACACTGTCCTTCTTCAGCCACCGTACAAGTCCGCCTCTAACCTTGCGGTTAATTACTTTTGTGATCCGGATATGGAAACGGTCAAATATACTATTAGAAGCTGTTGGTCTCTGGGAGATGTAGTCCATATAAGGGCTTTGATTTGAGATTTTGATTATACTTCTAGGGGAAGCTGAACTACATTTCCTATCAGCTACAGCGGTAATCGGTGCTGTTTCACTGGCGAAGGAGCCGCGTGCATCGTCTGTCTGGTCTTATTGTCGCGATGCCGAAAGTCAAGAAAAGAAACAGGCAGAAAAAGTACAACTACAATGTGAACCGCAAAAAACAGAACAGGGCTTTTCGCAAGCGGGCGAAACCCCGTATAAAATGGTAAGAAGACAAAGAGACAGCTGGGGTTAATACGAAGGGAGGGGAAGATTCGAGCTTTTGTTGTGCGGTCTTCTCAAGGGATGAGTTAAATAGGAGGTTCTTCCCCTACACTAGCACGAAGGATATTTGAACCACACTGTGATTGGGGTTTTTTTTAACACCAGCACGAAAAAGATCTGGACTATATTGAGATAGTGCGAGAAGCAGCTCTGGTTTTGCCTCTGTCTCAGTTTGATCCAGGCACTGTAATTAGGACTGCAAATAATAACGCATTTTTGTATATTTTTGTACAATGTAATGCAGGACACAGGAACGCTCTTGACTACTATCTGGCATTGGAGGCTGGCTTTTTGTTTTTGATACCCATAACCTCCATAATGCGTTTCTGTGACATTCTTGGAATTATTGAAGAATCTGTCCAGCAATTTCAATAATTAACTACCATTGGAGAAAATGACTCACCCTATGGTTATAGCCCCTTCCAATATCTATCAGTAAAGTGCTGCCCCGGAACAACATTTAGCAGTGTTCCATGTGCTTTCCATGTGATAACTGTTGCAGACCCTCAAGGATTCTGACATGCTTTAAAAAGCTAATGAATGCCCTTTGGAGTTCTCTAGGCAATTGAGTGAAGTGGTTCATATTTCCCCATAGATGTGTGACAGTTCTCATGAGAAGGGAGAGGAAGCGCCTTTAAGAATGGATAGTGCTTATATGTGGCTTTTTCTTTGTTTCTTTCTTTTTAGTTCCGAAATCCGACATGCCTGGGACCGCACAAAATCTGTATCACAGAACCTGGCTGAAATGGGCTTGGCTGTTGACCCAAACAAGGCTGTTCCCATTCCAAAGTTAATGCAACCGGTGAGTGTAGAATGAGCTCCAAATAAGACTGTGATGTGTGAGTCAAATAAATGGAATAATTTGAGTGAAAGTTTATATGATGTTTACTGCTTCAGTTGGCAACCTGCTTGTGAAGAATGGATGCAGTCCCAACAAGACAGTTTACATAAAACAAAATTATCCCATAAAAAGTGCACCATTTATGCATCAACAAAGGAACCAATGTACCTCATGTGGTATCTGCAGTTAGACTGTGACCAAATATACCTGAGAGAGAGGTAGTAGGAAAAATGTCATCTTAGTATATACTTATTTATATCCTGCTTTTCTATCCAATTAAGGCCCTCAATGCAGTGAAGTTAAAAAGCATTAAAAACCAACTTTAAAAACCATACACACACGCATGTATATATATATATACACACACACACATACACATACACACAATCATTAAAAACATAAATATGGAGGAGGCTCAGTGAGGCAATGCTAAATGAAACAAAAATGTTTTTACTCACTGGTGGAAGATAGTGATAGAGGAGGATGGATGAATGAATCTCCTTGGGAATGGAATTCCACAGTTTTAGTGCTGCAACTGGGAAGGTCCTATCCTGGGTTCCCACCATCTAGCCTCCACTGTCTAGCCACTTGAAGCAAGGCCCTGAAGATGACTGTAATGGCTAGGCAGGTTCATATGGGAATAAGCAGTACTTAAAGTATGCTAGTCCCAAACCATACAAGACTTTAAAAGCCATTACCAGTACTTTGAAGTAAATTGGAAGCCAGTGTAGATGGAACTAGACTGGAGTGATATGGTCCCTACAGCTTGCTTCATTCAACATTCTTGCTGCATTATGACCCAGTTAGAGTGTCCAGACGCTCCTCAAGGGCAGCCCTGTGTAGAGCACATCCCAGTAATCTAATGTGCATGTTAAAAGGGCCGTCCACAACAGAAAACTGCTTATTAGGTTTGCTTGTTTGTGAAAGTACAAAAAAAGAGAGAGAGAGATTTTAAGTGTTAAGTAAACTTTTTTCCCTTCACACTAATAAAGAACATGTTGGGCTCGTATAATAGAGTTGGTTGTTTTTCCCTTTGCTTTTCAGCTGAGTAGTTGGTCCAAGCAGAACGAAGCACTATTTTGTTGTTCTTTAGTGGGAGATAGACTACCATGAAGGGTTGTGACAGTATTTTAAAATTATGGTTCCTACATAATAGTTAATTCTAGGAAACTTAGTCTTTTTCTTTGCAACACATATTACCAGTAATCCCATTGGTGATACCATTGCATCCAGATTAGATCAAGTACAAGATGAACAGAATAGAAACTGATATGAATTGGCATGATAGCCTAAAAAGTGGACTGATCTTGCTAAAGCCCTCAGACAAGGTGAATAATATTACCCATAGGTGCAGCTAAAAGTAAAGAGCATCCAAAGCAATACATAGAAGTCCATCATGTATAACATTAACCAACTTGTCTTTCAAATTCAGGTGATGAGAATGGAAATTGATGGACAGGAAAAAAAGACAAAAATTGTGCGGAAGCCATATGTACTAAACGGTTGGTATTTATTTACTTCATTTGTAGCCCGCCTTTTATACTGAGACTAAAGGCAGACTAATTTTTATATTCAGTAGCAATGTATAAACAATTTAAGTGGGACAAGTCTAGAGGCAGCTGTGGTTCTGAAGTCTTGCAACACTGTAGGTAAAGGTTTGCACTATGAAACGTCAAAAACTGGTGATGTCCAGTGTTTCTTTCAGTATATTCAAGAAACATTAGCTAAATAGTGATGGTTTTGAGGTATCCTTAGCTGACTGTTTTGGCATGTACACAAGTGTGCTCTGTAAAGTTTGAATTGTTCTCTATATTCACAGTAAGGTAAAGGTAGGTAAAGGTTTCCCTTGCTCAAAAGCCAGTTGAATCCGACTCTAGCGATGCGGTGCTCATCTCTGTTTCCAAGCCAAAGAGCCAGCACTGTCCAAAGACATTTCTGTAGTCATGTGGCCAGCATGACTAGATGCCAAGGCGCACGGAATGCTGTTACCTTCCCACCGAAGCAGTACCTATTTATCTACTTGCAGTTTCTTGCTTTCGAACTGCTAGGTTGGCAGGAGCTGGAACTAGAGACAGGAGCTCACTCCGTCATGCGGCACTCAGGTCTCAAACTGCTGAACTACCGACCTTCTGGTCTGGAGTTCAGCCTCTCTTTTTTAACATTTTTATTGCTTTTAATCTCTACATATTACAAGGAATAAGGGTAAGGGATCTTCTAAACTAAAATACAGAGTTAGCAAGGATCATAACAGTCTATACATCAATTACTTGGTGTTTCCCTATTGTTTAGTTTTTTTTAAGAAATGGAGATTAGCTACTAATATTACTAGTTCAAACAAATACAGGCATAATTAGTCATAGTGGGTGCATCTTAGTATTTCAATAAAAAAGAAATCACATATTCAGAGTTAAGCTATTTATTGGTTTTCCCCCCTCTATGTTTGTTTTTATCAAAGGTCAGCTTAATTTTGAGAGGCTTAGGAGCCACTACTCCTAATTCTGATTCAGAGTCTAGAGTTCCTTCTGGAGAACTACTCGATGAGCTACCGCTGCTTCTCGATCTGTGTTCACTATTATCTTCTGTAGCATTTTTGTCCTCCGCTTTTCCTTTTGTAACAGAGTCAATCTTTTCTTTTTTCTCTTTAAAGTTGAAGAAAAGTCCTTCTGGAATAACCCATCTGTAGGGAGTGGAGTTTTTCTGCAGAAATAATGTCAGGTTTCTATATTGCTTTTTCTCACCTCAGATGGAACATCTTTTAAAACTTTCGCTTCTTCTCCTTTGACTTTTAAGGTTATTCCGTTAGTTGCTTTCAGTATCATATCTCTTGTTGACCTGTTAGAGAATTTCACAAACACTTCACTGGGCAGCTTGTTTTTCTTAATAAATTCTGGATAGGTACGGTATACCATATCCATATTGCTTTGTAATGATTCCGCTTTACAGTCTGCCACTGAAGCGAAGGCTTCGCTTAAGATCTCTTTCAGGTTTTCTCCTTTTTTTTCTGGAATCCCTTGAAATCTCAGGACATATGATGACTTTTCCATCTGCAGTTGTAACAGCTGTTCTTACTCTGAGGTCTTTTCTTTTTCCACTACCTCCAGTCTTTGATTTAACGCATTTATCATCATCCTTTTTCAGCTTTTTGGCTGTCTTCTCTGTTCTTATGCTAGTTTCTTTCAGTTCCTTTTGAAGAGCATCAAAGTTGTTGTTGAGGTTAGTCATCTGATCCAGCAGAGGGTGCAGTGCTGCAGCAATCATCTTAGGGAAGTCTGTGGTTGCTTCCAGTCTGGAGACTGGCGTCGTTGAACTGGTAGTTCCTGAAGAAGGTTTCGCCCTGGACGCTATTTTTTCAGCCCAATGCAACATGTTTACATTAAAAGGAAAAGTTCTTTAAAATCTCTGAAGATCTGTGAGTTGCACTTTTCTTACTAGTCTGCACACTGCTCGGCTAGATTATTGTTCTCCTGTCATAGCCGCCACTTTGCCCCTCGTTTTCTTCCTTTTATAGGATATTCTTTCCAGGGTATGGTTAACTCCTCCCCTGTGCTACATTTGGGGCTTTGGGGCAGCTTTGTGATTTTACGCTTGATCGCTTGCTTTGTTAAAATAAGTATTCACTTACGCTTTACTCCGCAATTTGCTTCAGGAGATAGGGAACATCTCCTATCACCCGATCTCTTGCACACTCACTCCGGTGTGTGTCTTTGATACCATGGCTGGTCTCGTGGCAGCGAGACCTGTCGGGGCAAAGAGGAGCCTCAATCCTTCGGCTGTTGCCTCAGGAGAGGCATCCCACGCACCCCAGGCTACCAGCCCCCTCGGAGGGCTCTGGGGGGACCCAGAATCATCTGGGACCCCTCCCGTCCGGCACGATCACGGGCCGCTCTTATCGGAGCTTCGTTGGAGCACACCCACCAGCAAGTCGCCGAAACCGGAAGTCTTCAGCAGTTCAGCCTCTTAACCACTTGAGCCACTGCAGCCCATATATTCACAGTAACAGCTTTAGTTTTTAGTAATTAGCTTTAAGTACTGTTGATATTCACAGTAACAGTACTTAAAGCTGATGTAGGGGTTTGAGCCATAGAAGAGCACATGTATGCATTCCAATATTAATTATTGTTCATCATCATCATCAGAGGGAGGGGCTGTGGCTTAGTAGCAGAGCATCTGTTTGGCTTGCAGAAGGTCCCAGGTTAAATCCCCAGCATCTCCAGTACACAGGATCAGGGAGTAGGTGATGTGAAAGACCTACCTGAGACCCTGGAGAGCCACATTTAGTCTAGTAGACAATAATTCCTGACTTTGATGGGCCAGTGGTCTGATACAAGGCAACTTCATGTGTGCAGTATCATTTTCTAAATATAATCCCAGTTTTTTAATGTATATGTTAATTTGCAACTGTTTGTTAGCTGCCTTGGAGATTTACAGCAATAGGTTATAGATAAATATGGGTTAGTAGACTCAGGACAGACTAAAGAAAGTATTTATTTATTTACAAAATTTCTGTTCTGCCTTTCTGCCCCTACAAAGGCCTATAAATAAGCAGAAAAATTAATTTTGTAAGCAAAACGATGTTATGTATGAGACATTGACATGGATTTCCTTTAAAATGTATTGCTCTCACTATTTTCTTTTCTTTTTGAAAACTTAAAATATATAATTTTTTTTAAAAAAGAAAAGCTTTATAAACACGTGTCATTAAGTTGTGATAAAATAAGAAACATTTAAAAAGGTTATAAATATACAAATTATAAATACACGTTATAAATGCTCACATGAACAAAGTTAATTAGAGAAGAATGTTTAGGGAAAATATAATTACAGAGAATTTTATAGATTGTACTTATAAAAATATTATAATGACTAGATCAATAAGTCTATAAAGGGTTATTATAGAAAGCTTAAACAGGATAAACTTGTTTTTGATTATTATTAGAAATGAAATTAAATTTGTAGATTGAAGTGAATAGGTAATTTCAAGATATATGCATAGTTAGATTTATAGAACAGAAATATAAAAGGTTAGATTGTAAAATATAGGTTAGTAGTAATAAAAACCACGTATTGAGTGAAAATTGGTTAATAGATATATGTATTAGGATGACTTAAGAGATTTGATGATGCTACTATTGCTCTCGTGTATGTTTGTTTGTCTGTTTGAAGTGTGTTAAAAATAATAACATTTATTTCAGCAAAAGAAGGCACCTGAAGACTGTTTTATTTAGGACTGCAGAACAAAGTTTGAGTGCAGTGGTACCTTTAAGACCAACCAAGTTTTATTCAAGGCATAAGCTTTCATGTGCATGCACATTTCTTCAGATACCGTGAAACAGAATTTTCTCAACCATCACATAAAGGAGGGGGGGGAGTCAGTTACCAGAAAGGCCCAATTAAATACAGAGACAGAAACAAAAATGGAAATTAACAGTCCATACATATAGGTATAGCAGTAAATCATCGTACAGCATAATGAAGATGTTTAATAGATTCAAGGATCAAACAGTGATAATAAGCTTAGTTTATATGGTTACCATTTTGGGGGGTTCAATTCTGGGGGGAAAACAGTGAAGGAAATAAATATCTCAAAATTGGAGATTGATGTATCGTTAATTGCGGAATGCTGAGAGTAACTCATTGAGACCCTGCCACCCATCTCCTCTCAAGCATGGAGGTGCCTTTATAGCATCTTCTGTATCTGGCATCTTCTGTATCTGAAGGTGCTTGCACACAAAAGCTCTTACCTTGAATAAAACTTTGTTGGTCTTAAAGGTGCCACTGGACTCAAACTTTGCTCTGCTGTTTCAGACCAACACAGCTTGCCCAACTGAATTTATTTAGGACTTCCTTTGCTTAAAGCGGTCCTGAATTGTCATTTTAAATTTTGGTTTTGTGTATTTTAACGTACATTGTAATTGTATTTTATTTATATTGGAAGCCAGCTTGAGCTTTGTAAGGAAGAAAGGTGGCTAGTAAATGTTATAAATAATTAATGAATGCAATTAAAACATCGGGGTGGAAGGAGGGATCACTGAGGGAATGCCAAATGAAACAAAATAAGTCTTCACCCACTGGCGGAAGATGGCAACAGAAGGGGACAGACAAATCTCCTCGGGGAAAGAGCTCCAGAGCTTGGGTGCCAAGAAGGCGCTCTCCTGGGTTGCCATCCACCTAAGCTCTGAAGGCAAGGGCACCCACAGCAGGGTGTGTGAGGATGACCGAAGTAGTCAGACAGGTTCATAAGTAAGTAGATAGTCTTCAGGAAATATTGGTCCCACACCGTACAGGGCTTTGAAGGTCAAGACTAGCACCTTGGTTGTGCCCAGAAAACAAATTGGAAGCCATTGTAGATGGGCCAAGACTGAAATGACACGATCCCTACAGCCCACTCCAGTCAACATCCTGGCTGCAGCATTCTGTACCAATTGAAGTTTCCAAATACTTCTCAAGGGCAGCCTCACGTAGCAGTGACCTAATCTAGCTATAACGAAGGTATGCACCACAGTGGCCAGATCTTTTCTGCCCAGGAAAGGCTGCAGCTGGCTAACCAGTCAAAGGCACTCCTGGTCTCTGCTGCCACCTGCTTATCTAGCACTATGCCTGGGTCTAAGCACACCCCCAAACTGTGAACCTGTTCCTTCAAGGGGAGTGCAGTCTCCTCTCCATTCATGTAACACATAATTAACATACAGGAAACATATTTCATCCTGTGCCTTTAACTACTGTATGAAAATAGTAGAACCAAAAATGTCGGATTTCCTTCTCATACACACAAATCATACATCACTGTTATCAGTGATACCTAATGTTCCAGGTATGAAGTCACTCTCATTAATTTTGGCTGTTAGGATTATGAGATTAGATTAGGTTGATATTTTCCTTTGAGCCCATCAGACTTGCTGCTTTCATAAAAGTGGGCACTGCAGTTGGCAGAGGCTGAATGGCTATGATCCTGGTAGTTTAGCAGTCTTCAGCATTTACAGAGGCAGGAACTACCTCTAAACCAAGATGGGATTCACCCTTAATGGTTTTACTCTATGTTTCTTAGGGTGACCAGATACAAAAGGGGGGATTCTGGTAGGTGCAGTATTGTTGTGAAGGGGTTTCCCTGCTGAAATTCTTTTCTTTAGGTACTGAAAAGTAAAGATGCTCTGGTCTGCTTTGTAGCTAGTCATATCCCTGATGTGTATTTTGCCTTTTCTTTCCTTGATTTTCCTTTAAAAACCTGAAACAAAAATTAGTGGAGAGCTGCTGTATCTCAGTAGGGCAGGATGTGACTAACTTGTGCATCAGAACTCATCACTTGAAGACCAGTGCACTAGTCAAATCTAGCGGTTTCTGCCAGAACAGGCATCTGCAGTGTGAAGTAGTTTTCTGTTGCCTCACTGTATTGTCTCCCTCACTCCCATCCAGAGTTGGAATATCAAGCCAGCCTCCCAGAGAAGAAGTCAGAGACCCTCTCCAGAGATCTCATTGACTACGTTCAGCACATGATCCGGAATCATGGTGAAAACTACAAGGTAGATGCTTGAATTATTGAAGATGTGAAAGACTTTAAGAGCCCCATTTTGAATGCTTGCAGCTGTTAGCGTGACTTCCAGAACTTCCTGATCTCCTCAACAGGAAGTAGTAGAACACGCTTATTGGCATTCTGCTGGCTTCCTCTTTTCACCCATGACAGATTTCCTGTCAGATGAAACCACTTGTTTCTCTGTGCTGAACGCCAATGGATTGTATCTACCCTTTGAGTGCCTCTGTTTGTTCTGTGCTTGCCACTTCTTATTTGTGTTGTGAACAGACTGAGCTTGCGTCTTGATGCACAGCAGAGTCCTTGCTTTCTGGGTGTGGGAGGGCCTTCTTGAAGCTGCTGCTTGACTTCTTCAGCTATTAACTCTTTCCTTCAACTTTCAGGCTATGGCTCGTGATGAGAAGAACTACTACCAGGACACACCAAAGCAAATAAAGGGGAAGATCAGTGTATATAAACGCTTCTACCCTGAGGAGTACCAAGCTTTTTGTGCCTCTCTGCAGCAGGAAAAGATGGACCACAAATGACTTACCACAGCAGTGGGAAGAAGCACCTGCAATTCATTCTAGTGTTCAGAAAGTGCAGCTTATGTTAAATGTAATCTTACAATTTGGTGAGAGAACACAGGACAATGTCTGCACAGATGGGACTCTTGGTCCGGACTGGTGCTGCGAAGGGAGCATTGATTTTACAGTTACTACTGTTCTGGGGAAAAGGAACAGCATTTACTTTTATTCTAGTGTTCAGAAAGTGCAGCTTATGTATGTTAAATGTAATCCTACCATTTGGTGAGAGAACACAGGACAATATCTGCACAGATGGGACTCTTGGTCTGGACTGGTGCAGTGAAGGGAGCATTGATTTTACAGTTTCTACTGTTCCGGGGGAAAGGAGCAGCATTTACATTGGATAAAATAAACTACTTCTAAAGCTGAGAGTCAGTAGTACCAAATGCAGCTACATTTCCTTTTTTTATGGAGCAAGCAGTGGGGCTTGCTTGTGTGTATTTCCAAAGAATTCAAATCTGATGATAAGGATGACTTTGCACAGGCAGTGCAACCTGAGAGTTGCAGGGCAGTGTTCTTTGATGTTCACAAAGAACTAAGTAGACAGGCCAGGAGCAGCTCTGGTATGCATATCTAGAAGGGCAATCTGAGGGGGCCGGACAGATGGATTGAGGAAGAGCTCCTGTTCTCAGTAGTACTCCCTACAGGACTGAACGGCAACCCACCTGGTAGGTGTCGGGGAGGTGAGTCACCTCCTCAGGTCGAGCCATTCAGGGCTTTATAGGAAAAGTGCCATACTTCTCTGTTAAAGTATTCTGGGATTTTTCTATTTCCAAAGGAATTTACCCACCTGGTAGGTGTCGGGGAGGTGAGTTACCTCCTCAGGTCGAGCCATTCAGAGTTTTATGGGAAAAGTGCCATACTTCTCTGTTAGGGATTTTTCTATTTCCAAAGGAATTGTGGTGCCTTCTCTGGATATCTTCATGGCTGCATGTTGCCTGTACATAGGTACAAAGGGAAGTGTGCCTTTGATAAAGATTCTGCACCTCCCTCTAAAACATACAGGAAGCACAATTGCTGTCCAGCCCCTAAGCCCATGGGTCATTTTTTCTCTCTAGAGAGTCCTGTGTAGAGTCCTCTGGAGGTACTGTGATGATGGTAACCATAACAAAATCCCATGAGTTCTGCCCTTCCCTAGTAGCAATACTATATGATGCTACTTTTGTGTGCTTCCTTCCATCAATGTGAACCACCAGTAAGGGAAGTGTGCCTTTGATAAAGATTCTGCACCTCCCTCTAAAACATACAGGAAGCACAATTGCTGTCCAGCCCCTAAGCCCATGGGTCATTTTTTCTCTCTAAGGGAAGTGTGCCTTTGATAAAGATTCTGTACCTCCCTCTAAAACATACAGAAAGCACAATTGCTGCCCAGCCCTAAGCCCATGGGTCATTTTTTCTCTCGAGAGAGTCCTGTGTAGAGTCCTCTGGAGGTACTGTGATGATGGTAACCATAACAAAATCCCATGAGTTCTGCCCTTCCCTAGTAGCAATACTATATGATGCGACTTTTGTGTGCTTCCTTCCGCCAGTGTGAACCACCAGTCTGAAACACAGAACCACATTTTGTAAGAGGTAATATTTCAAGGTTTATTGGTGTAGAAGGAGGAAAAACGTAATGTAAACAATTGGTCTGCATTTGCTCTTTTCACCTAGTATAGAGGAACCTAGGGTTTTGTAGGGCTGTGATCCATCAGCACAAAAAAAGCTTCCTATATTCTGGGATCAAGAAACAGTGGGGACTGGGCCGGGAGGTTCAGAGTACTGTGATTCTCCTGTCCTGGCTGAAGGGGACAAGAGAAAAACTAGGAAGGCAGCAAAAGTACTGCTTAAAAGTAACAGCTGAGTTAGTTTCATGTAAACAGGGAAAACCATGTATAGACGGCTGGCTGAACATATAGAACTATTTTTATCCGGGGACAAAATGGGCCATTGAACCAGCACCAGCTTCGTCTCTAGCAGAGGTTTAGGAAACCATGCAGGTTCATGCCTCCAACCTGAATGGGGTAGTTGCCTGGTAGTGCAGTCAGACTGTGCAGTGCTTCTCTGTTTCCAGGTCAAAGCATACATGGATGCTATAGGAACAATTTTATTCCTGAGTTGGGTAACTGAGATCAGACATAGCACCAAATAAGGAAAAGAGGCTGTATCAGTGCACTCCACCTGCATTCCATACTAGCTAATTCAATATTTTCCTATTACTTCTTGAGCAACCAGCCCTTCAAGCAAATTCACCCTGGCAAATGCAAGCTCTGCTGCAGTTGATTCAGACTTCAAAAACAACGAGCAGGCAAGCAAACTTGCACTGAGGTGTAGATGGTAACTCTATTGGGGAACCAACTTGAAGCTGGTATCAGGAATAACACTGGATATAAAAAGGCCTCACCAAGACCAGTTTGGTCACAGACCCAGTTACCCTAAGAAGCTTAGCCTGGCAGGGAATACCAGTCAATTAAGGACACCTTGTGTCCCAGTGAGGGAGCAGCTAAGATACCACATCTTTAGGAGATTCGAGAGCCACACATGAATGCAATGAAGGCCTTGAAGAGGATACTGGTGTTTCTGTGAGTTAGTTTACCAGCACAGGCCATTGTACATGTTCTCCTAAGATGCCAATGAAACTGCCATCCTCGGACCCTTTCCCCAGCTAGTTTGAGTAGCCCTGCTGGGGCAAGATCAACCCCCACCTTCCAAGGAGGACACAAAGGTTTGTGTATTCCAGCCATTTCATAGGCAAAGAAAGGGAAGCAGTTTCTATGACAAGGCACGTTCACCACTTTTTATCTTTTCTGTTTCTTCCTACAAATCTGGTGGTAGTAAGGACCGAAAGATAAAGTGGGACTATAAGTATTGATATTTGAATTTTTTTAGGAATGCATCCATCATGGGCCACTGCTACCCACTGTCTTGAAGACTGGTGTTGTCAGCATGAACAGGGCCCTTTGTTTCTGTTTATATTTTCTACCCTGTTTCCAAAGACAGAATGGCAGTGGGGGCTCACTTATCAGGGGGGGAAAATTAGGAAATGCCTAAAGAGGAGTCTGTGGAGGACTCAGCCTGTCTGCTCCTCAGCTGTACAGATAAAATATCTCGGGTAGCTGCTGCGAGAAGTAAAGTCCTGGATGTCCACCTGGCTTGAATATCTTGGCGAGGTCCAAGAATTTTCAGATCTGTGCAAGAAGTTTGATCAGCAGATTCTTCAGGTGGAGAACACTGTTTGCTGTGCCCAGGCCTGCATAAGTAGCACTTGTAGGCAGGAGAAAGAATTCCCTCTGGTTATTCAAGGTGTGCAAGGCCAACTCCTTCTGTAATTCTGCTACACTCAGCGCATCCTCCTTGTCCTAGAATGGGTACAGAATTGTTGTTTGAATAATAACGGCATAAGAAGAGCCAACTGAAGGTCCAGTGAGCCACCTGGTCCGGCATTCTGTTTCACACAGTAGCCAACAAACAGAATAATGACCAACAAGGCTTTTCCCCTTTAAGTGAATTATAATTTCTCATTCCTTATCTGACAAGGATTAGCATGGAAACTAAGTATGGGAAATAATTATACCAGGAGCTAACACCAGTCAAGTGACCCATAAGGGCTAAGCCCTGGATGCCGCATTAGTACAGTCAGTCTCCATGCAGGAGACTAAGGTGTCCAGCCTAGATGAGCCAGATCTCTAGGATGCTCACAGGTGAGAGCTGCAAAGAAACGTACCTGTTTGTTGGCCAGCACAATTAAAGGCAACTGAGAATCCTCAGCTAGCAGACAGTGCAGCTCCTGCCGGGCAGCAGGAAGGCGTGGACTATCTGCAGCATCTACAACAAACACCAAAATGTGGGCTTTGCTCAGGAAGTGATTCCAGTAGGAACGTAGATTCTGGCTGCCACCAACTGGGGAACAAACAAAACTTGAAGTCAGAACTCACACAGGTATTCCTTTCAGGAGGGGGGAATAGACAGTAAACCCAGTTCATAGCTGTTGCTATGGATGCAGCCCCAACAACTATATTTAGTAATATGATGTGTTATGGGAGCATGTTTTGAGGAGGGGAGCAGTTAAGTATGGGAATAATTCTTTTAAATGGTCACAAATTCTAGTGAGGTAGCTGTTATAGTTTGTACAGCAGAACAAAACCAAACCTGTGGCTCCTATTATGGCATGAAGACTTGTGCCATTATAAATCTGTTTAAGTGTGAGTCTTAAAATCAATGTCTTTGTGGCATCTGAAGAGTTTCCAGCTACACAGCTGCACAAGCCAGACAAAAAAACAGAGAAGGTGTATGTAACTCCCGAATTTAATAATTCTGGATTATGTGATATCCCCCAAGAGTTTATGGCAGGTCTTACCTTCCAGAAGGTCCACCTGCAGGCCACTATCCTGAAGTTGCACAGAATTGAAGCCCTCAGTGGGAGATATGCACCTTTTGGCTTCTGTACTGGAGACATAGTGGAGAATGCTGCTCTTTCCAGCACCATCCAAGCCTAGAACCAAAACCTGATATTCACATATGTGTGCCTGCAAAGAGAGGAAGAGATTAGAGTTAGTTTTGAGCAACGATGTGGTTGTGGAAGGGCCTGTCCGTCACAGCAGCTCAGCAGTCGTCATTATTAGCCAAGATGATGATATCTGACCTCCAGGTTTCACTATAATTTATTGTTGGGAGTGAATTATGAGTACTGCATTTTTCTTACCTGATGACTGGTAAGAAGCATCACTGTGAGGCAAATGCTTTTTTTTTTCTTTTACACCCCGTAAAAGATTCTACATAACTCCAGCACTAGGAAACCTCTATTTATATACTTCACTTATACCCTGCCTTTCTCACTGAGACTCAAGGTGGATTACAAAACATTTAAAAAGATAATAAACGATTCACTCAGACAGTATACTATATCCATTAAAGCAGGGATTCCCCAACCTTCTTGAGTCTGTGGGACTCTGTGGAGTTCTGTCACAGTGTGGTGGGTGCAGTGACAAAATGGCTGTCATGAAGGGGCTGCCACAAGAAACAGAGCCAGGCATAAAACAGGTGCCACAGCTTACCTTCAGTCACACACAATGCTCCCTCTAAGCTGTGGAGTCTTGTGAGCAAAAATTCTACTTTGTGTGCTACTGGGCATTAAAGTTGTGAGTGAGCGATTTGTCTACTGCATAGATTAGTTTGCTCTGGAGCCATCCCCTTCTGAGCTAAGACAAAAAATGTGTGAGCCAGAGGCTAAAAAACTGTGAGCCGGCTCACACTAACTCAGCTTAGAGGGAACACTGGTCACACAGCAAAGATTCTTGTGCTGCGGTGACAGCTGCTGCCAAAGCAACTATTAAAAATGTGAACAGCCAATCAGAAGCCTTGCTGGACAAAAGCCTGACTTATTTATTTATTATATCCATGCCCCCGCCCTCCCCACAAGTGGGCTCAGGGCGGCTTACAAGGGAGCCACCCCCTTTCTAGAAGTACTTGGTGGGTGTCAGGATAGGTGTCTCTGGGCACCGTGTCACCCACAGGCACCATGTTGGGGACCCCTGCATCAAACAATGCACTAAGTCTAGGATTACAGAATTAGAAAATAATGCAAACAGAGAACTGTCTAAAGCACTGCACATGGTAAAGAAAGTGAATTACAAAGGTAAAAGATGGTGCAGTAAAAGCAAGCTGACACAGGAAACATTGCAATATACTATAAGCCCTCCCTTTCCCCAAGAAACATGCCCAAGGAAATCAAGAGGCACCTTGAAAGGTTCATCTTCAAGGCTCCCATCATCATTACTGCCTGACCGGTTCACCTAGAGGAGCAGCTGAAAGGCTTTTCCATTACAGTTCTTCAAGTTTTCAAAATCTATTATTCAAGAGCAGTCATGAGCTCCCACTGTAACTCTAGTTCATCACTGGAAAAATCAGGATGCTGGAACTCTTAAAGGGAAACTCCCTTGGTTTTGAACATGGAGGATTCAGTGCAAAAGCATTGTATTCCATAAATTCAAGGTTGGACTGTCAGTTTGGCAGATGGGACCTTTGTCCCAGTGGCCTTGGCTAAATCATTGTCTTTCTGTCTAACTTACCTTGCAGAGTTGCTCCAAAAACAAATTGGAATGCCACATGCATCACCACCCTGAACAGACAATTGCTGTGAGTAGCCATGTCACCGCTTCTTCCTTTGGTCAGCACGCCTGCATGCATCCACTGAGGGATGTACAGCTTTAAAAGGGGATTCGACAGATTCATGGAGGACAGGTCTATCAGTGGCTACTAGACATAGTGAACCTCCACGTTCAAAGGCACTAAACCTCTGAATCCCAGAGCCAGAAGGCAACATCAGGGGAAGGTCTTGGCCTTTATGCCCTGTTGTTAGCCCTCCAGAGGAACAGGATGCTGGACTAGTCTGAACCAGCAGGGTAATGTGTGGGGAAACTGAACACTGAGATGAACTGCTGGAATTTATATTTTCAAAGTACTCAATTTTTGCCTTTTAACCCCAGCAGTCTGTGGTGCAATTTGAAACCCAAGTTGTATCCCTTACCATATAATCCAGTTAAAATTGCAACATGTCTTCCTGGTCTCCATTTTAAGGAAGTTAACAACCTAGCATCTCAAGATAGCAAACAGACTTGGGGCTTCTCCATAGCACCTTAAGCATATTTAGTTCTATTTCCTCTGCTTTGCTTTTGTGAGTTTGGAGGAACTTCAAATCTTCTGCTTGCCTTTTTATACATACATACATACATACATACATACATACATACATACATACATATATATATATTGGTCAGTCCTAACAGACAGGCAGGATTGTAGAAATGAGGAAAGGATGACTCAGAATTGAAATTAGTTGGAAAGGTAACTGCAATTGTCTGATAGTAATTATAATAAATGCTATTAGGTTAAGGAACCAATAGAATAGGACTGCAGCCAACTTGAAGCTCAAGCTGTTTTATTAACCAGTGTGAGCTCATTCTGCTGCTTATGCTGAGCTCTAAAATTCCTCTCAGGAACGCTGTTGTCATAAGCAACCAGCTACAATGAGAGGTGCTGTAGCCATATACCCAGTTGTGGGGAAATTTAAAAGCCTAGTCAGCCTCTTTACACAACTACATGAAGACAAAGCTGCCAACACAGGATATAGGTCAGACCTGAATGAAGGCTCAACATAGTTCCTTTTTTAATCCAAGGACACATTTATCAAGTCAGCAGAATTAATTAGTAACAGTTCCTGGATGGTACCACTTCAGACTGCAGGTGGGGCTCAAGAGGAATATTTATAAATAAACTAGCAAATCAGGAAATAGGGTTAAGGGAGAAAAGACCTAACTTTCTCCTCAGCTAGCTAGCTAGCATATCACAGCAATTGCCCATTTTGCTCCCTTTTTTTCCTGTTAAGCTGGAGGCAGGGGGACAAAGGACTGGGCTTTGTTGAAGAAAAGCTCTGAGGGGAGAGAAAAAGCGATGTTTCCCTTTAGAAAGCAGACAGGGCTACATGTACAAGTGGTAGCATCCACTAGGGAATGAGTGTTTGTGAGGTAAATGAAAGAAGTCAGGTTTTGAGACTTTGCCCTTTGCTTATTTTGAGGCCTTGGTCAAAATCACTTGTTTCCATCTTGCTCAGTGTTCTCTTAGTGCTGCTTAAAGCCCTCAAGAAGCTTAGGAGCAGGGCATGAGACCAACAGTGTTTTCCTGTGGCACAGCCATAGCATCTGGCATGTAGCGACGCACTGTCTCTGAACACAAAATTTCTATTTTGCTAACATGACTTCCATGAGCAGAGCTGAGGCAGAGCCAATCAGCAGGACTGTGTAGGGATGGAGCCACTAAAAGGTGAGCTGAGACTGGTATTGCAGGGCAGCACCTCCCTTTTTGTAGGCACCAGTTGCCTATCATTTATACCCCACCGTTCTCCCCAGTGGGGACTCAAGCTAGCTCACATCATTCTTCATTCTCATCCTCCACACAATGGGTAGGTTAGGCCGAGAGAGAGAGTGTGTGTGGCGTGCCTCAAGTCAGCCATCAAGTTTCTTTGGCAGAGTGGGGATGCAAACCTTGGTGTCCCAGATCCTAGTCTGACATTTTAACTACTACATTACACTGTCTTCATGTATATAGGCGTGTAGAAGTATTCAGGTATGCCAGACCATGTAGCTGGACGTGGAACTGCTCCAAAGGCTTGATTTGGATGATCAGATAGACTGGCTCTAAAGCTGGACGTGCAGGATGAAGCTTGTAACCCTGCCATTCTTCCACTCTCCCCCCGCTTCAGGAGCTTCCCTCTTGAGGCAGGCACAACCTGTGCAGAGTGCAGGGGAAGGAGTAGTGCATTGCCCTCATTTTGCAGAATATCACAATGAAAGAAAATACAAACCATATACTAAATTTTGAGTAGGAACGCTGATGGGTCTGGATCGGAGGCCAATGGCCCAGTGTATTCTTGTTCTATCCCAGCACTGGTTTACCTACTTGTTTCCAGTGCTAGAGCTCAGCCCTGGAATATGTGACTTTAAAAAATGAAGCAGACCTCTGGGCGTGTGCAGAATGCCTTGGGGTAATGACAGCGGCACCTAACAAATCCAGCACCAAGGCACCAAGCTTTGAAGGCAGAACTGGACGTTTTAGGGACGTTAAGCAGTTCTCCAGAGCAGGTCTGGGGGTAGAGGGCGCTCCCATTCATCTTACCTCGTCGTCCCCTTTCGGGGTTTTGCGCCCTAGCTCCACAGCCAGCTGCTGCTCCCAGCGCCCTCTCCAGCCGACGCTGCTGTCGTTGACGTCTCGAAAATAGATTTTCAAGGCTATGAAAAGGAGTGATCCCAAGGCGGCCACCGCTGCGCCCAGTGCTAGGCTGAGGTGCCGGAGGGCGCCCGTAGGAGCCATGGGAGACGGAGCCAGGCTAGGACGACACGGCAGAAGAAGCACCTCAATCCGGACGCGCTAACAGGTCTCGCCGCCTTACAGCCACTTGAGGCTGGCCCTCCCTTCCTTCCTTCCTTCCTTCGCCTTAGCAACCTGCCTCTACCTCCCAGTCGTATCGGCCCGCCCAGGAACAAGTGCCGTAATCCACCTTGGTCAACAAACGCGCCCAACCCGCCAGCCGGTAACCTAAATCAGCCGGAGAATTTCCTCGCCGGAGGCAACAGCGGGAAACTGGAGATACAGCGCTTTGCTGACGTCACACGCGGTCTTAAAGGAGACAGGCTTGCTCCGGCAGGATCGCGTATACTTCTCCCAGCGCAACAAACAAAACCACACACACAGACACACACACACAGACACACTTCATCCCATCCCGCTCCCTGGCTGTAAAAATATTATAAGGTCGAGAGAGGATGTGATCCTCGCACATTCTAAAAATATTCACTCTTCTAGTATTGTTATTGCTCCCCATACACCTATCTTACCTCTTTGTATACAAAATCTCCGTGCGTGTGCATACATGGGTATGGAGGCAAAGGTCGTAATTATAGACAAAATATCTCTCTCTCTCTCTCTCTCTCTCTCTCTCTCAAACGATTTTTGTGAGACAGAATTCACTTCATCAGATTCATGGCATGGAGTGTACATCCACAGCAGTTATTTATATTTAGAATTATACTTGAAATTATAAGCACCAGACAGGGGTGTGTGAAGAATGTGAAGTCCCTCATGAAAATTTATGCTGGAATAAACTTACTATTTAAGATGCCACTGAACTTGTTTGTTCTTGCTGTAATAGACTTAACAAGGCTGCCCCAGTAATTATTTTCTTTTTTACAATAATGCCCACAGACAATTTTTTTTGTTAGATCAGCTCTTCTTACATGATTAGTGCCAGTAGCTCTTTTATTAAACACTGAGCATCAGCTTGCTTTCTTAATAAATCATCTGACAAACTATTGTTCTTCCATATCTGATCTTACCCAGAGGTTTTGATTAAGGAGCTAGTCCAGCCACTTCATCTAAGATAAGGCTTCAGTTTGGTTTCCTCTCTTCTTGAATAAAGAAATGGGCTAAAGGAATCAAGAATGTTTGTCTGCTAATCCCACCAAGTGTTCTGAGAAGGTTCTTGTGTCACAGCTGTCAAAAGAATTTAGGAATCATACCCCTGGATGGCCCAAGATATTGTGCAGAAAAAGTACAGCCTTGTTCCTTTTCCTGAAGAAACAAACAAACAAAAACTTCCTGGACAGAATAATGTCCACCTCCCACTCCCTAACTATTTTCACTCAAAAATACTAATGATTACAATTGCATTGGTAAACATGTATTTTGCCGAGCACCAAACCTTCTAGTGGAGCAATCTTAAAACAGGTTGGCTCAGAAGTCCCACTTAAATCAATTAGGCTAATTCCAAGAAAAGTTTTGTTAGCGCTGCAGCCTAGGTTTGAGGATTCAGCCACTGAGTCCAAACTAGTTCCCTTGCTTTCTGGAATAAAACAAATAACTAGGGATTTGTTTGCTAGATGCAGTTTGCTTTCACAATCATAATGGTGGTGGTTTGTAGAGTCCATATGCTCACTACTGTCTGGTATATAATCTGTTCGTCCCTCATGTCCAAATGATAAAGCATTTTAATTTAGAAACCTTAAAGCCCCTTTCCTCTGGAATTTTAATCACACATACGATAGAAGTGTGATACATTTTTGCAGATTCTTTGATTTTCAGCCGTGTTTAGGATGCACTCACATGGTTTCAAAGTCTTCTTTAAATTAATAGCTGCTAAATCTCAGAGGGAACACAGTTTCCAGCAAACAAAACAAACAACACATTTGAGAATAGTTCTATTTAAATCTATGCTCTGAAGGTAGTAAAGGACTATGATATTTTCCACACCTGTTTTGGAATTTACCTAACCACATTTTTAAGCTTCAAAGAGGTGGACATATTCTTGTAATCTATATGTTGCACCCTAGCCCTTAAAGTCCCTGACCCAACCAAAAGCATTGATTTATGAATCCCTATCCTTTGACTCTTACAGGAAGATAATCTCTGGTGTTTTTATATTCAAATTGCTTTCCCAATGAATAGGCTTTAAGGGAGCAAGGCTGTATCTGCTGTGAATATGATCAAAGAATTATTTAATCTGGTAGTGTTTTAGATCTTTGGACTGCAACATGGGACAACTAAATTCAAATCTCTGCTTTATTACAGGAGCTCTCTGGATGACATTGGGCCAATCGTAATTTTTCAGTCTAATCTATCTCACAGGGTTGTTCTCGTGAGGATAAAGTGAAAAAGGGAGAACAATGCAATAAACTGCTTCGGGTCCCCTTTAGGAGGAAAAGTGTGATATAAATAATACAAATGGTTATGTTTTTCTTACACTTATAAGCTTTAAGGGAATGAGCAAAATCAAAACACCATGTTACTGAAGAAGGCGACAGAGTCTGTCATAGCCCTAAGAAAAGTCCAGGTTGCAAATGAAGGATTTAAACTATCATCCAGCACATACAATATTATTTGCCAGGAAGAATGAATTCTTTTTTTCTTGGTTTGCAGCCAAAGCATTACTAGGATTGTCAGTGTTTGCTTTAAACAGTGGGCGTGCTTGTGTGTAAGTCAGTGTGAATGTCTTCAAATGTTTTTCCTTGAAGAAAATAGGCTCCCCACCCTTTAAAAATGAATGTACCCTGCCTAAGGCAGTGATAGTTCTGAAGATGTTTCAGCCAAGGGCAACATGGTAAACAGTTATTTGGTTGATCAGGAGCTACTTGACTTGAGCCTTCCGCTCATGAACACAGTGATCAGGAGATCAGCATACAGTTGTACAGTCTCATCAAATGCACCCAGCAAAATGATGTTGGCCATTCCACATCATCTATATATCTAATAGTGAAGGCG